CCCCCCTTCCACCTGGGTTCTCCTGTGAATGGATTTTTGGAAGAGGAAAGCCATTCACTGGGAACCTGGATAATCTTAAGAGAACACTTCTTCAATTCTGTAGTCAGGGTTGACATGGAATGGGAGAACAGCATCATCTGAATTGCGCTCTTCCCCTTCTTTGTAGTGCGGTACACCCTTAGGAAGTAGTAGTTACCTCTTTTATTAAAGGAAATAGTTGCTTAAGGTAGTTTGAGCTCTCTGAGCCTCTCAGAATTTCCAGTGATGAAGAGCCCAGTTCAAATGTTTCAGTTTAAAAAAAAAAAAAAAAAAAAAAGGACAAGAAAGAGTGATCCAGAGGAACGTGCATGCAATGCGGAATTACATCTTTTTTTTTTTAATACAGTCATTCTTGAAGACCTCATTTTAGAGATGTAACCATTTTTGTGAATTTTTAAATGTCTCATTTGCAGTCTTGCTTTAATTCTCTGCTTATGAAGTAGTGTGGTTTTGTGGACTTAAGAGGAATTAATTTTTTTTTTTTAATAGAGAGGAGAAGATAGCAATCATGCGTGAAAAGCATACAGCTCTAATGAAGCCCATTGTATTTGCTTTGGAACACGTACGGAGCATCACTGCAGCTCCTGCAGAAACTCCTCATGAGAAATGGTTTCAGGATAACTATGGGGATGCAATTGAAAATGCACTAGAGAAACTGAAGAATCCTTTGAATCCTGCTAAACCTGGAAGCAGCTGGCTCCCATTTAAAGAGGTATTATATGCGCAGACTAAAGGCACAATGTAGAGATTCTTGACACACTTGCTGCACTATGTGCTTGACCCTCTCCTTAGTATGCTCTTGCTATTCTCTTGCCATAGCAAATTTGCAGCCTGAAACTGTCTTCTCTGCAGTCATGACAGGCATGCTAGACTTTAAAGCAAAGTAACTGTTGCCTCTGTAATGAGTCTTGTTGACTGACTGCATTATTGCATTTCTACCCAATGAAAGTATTTCATTGTTTTCAAATCTTGTGTCTTCTGCTGTCTGAGCTCCTGTCAGAGGACTTTAATTTTTTTTTAGTACTGTCTTTTTGAAACTCTATGCCATTTGATTTTTTGTGAATTTAAATTCTAATAAGTTGGTACTCTAGTTATCTAAGTATAGTCCTCAGGCTGTGCAGCAACCTTCAAGTGATCAAGCCTCAAACACACTCAGTTTTTCAATTATGTGATCTTGTCTTATTTTTTATGGGTTTGAAGAGAAACAAAATCCATATTCCCTTGGATATCCAGAGCCAGCCTGATGATTTTTAGACATCTTGATAGACAGAAATTAGGTGTTGCACACAATTAGACTTTTAGTTCCCTTTCTGCTTTGCAAAACAAGCGAGCATACAGATACATAAACAGGATGTTGCTGAAGTCTGCTGCATTTGACCACAGCTCAAATATTTATAAATGCAGGAGCAAATCTACCAAGGAGTTTGATTTGTTTTGACTTTGGTGCTTATCATCAGACAGGGTATATTTTATGCATAAATGATATTTTTTAGACTTTATCATCTTCATCCTAAGCTATAAATGGATTAGTAGGGTTGCAAGGATGAAAGGCGGTTTATGAAAAATGATGACTGCCATTAAGTCTTTTTTTGGTGTTGAGTGTTGTGTTTTGTTTTTTTTTTTTTTTTATACTACCTGTTAAGTTAAACCTCAACCTAAATCAAAAAAATTCTTTGGAATAGGTTATGCTAAGTTTGCAGCAAAGAGCACAGAAACGAGCTAGTTACCTTCTACGGCTTGAAGAAATCAGTCCTTGGTTGGCTACCATGATGAACACTGAAATAGCACTTCCTGGAGAAGTATCTACCAGAGACACAGTCACAATTCATAGTGTGGGCAGCACCATCACAATCCTGCCTACCAAAACAAAACCAAAAAAGCTGCTCTTCCTGGGTTCAGATGGGAAGAACTATCCCTACCTGTTCAAAGGTAAGAAATTGAAGTTTTCTCGTACAAGTTACTGTCTCTTGTTAGAAATCAGACTATATTTAAGTTTGGAAGATGCATGGCTGCAACTTTTGCTTTCTCTGCCTGCATGATACGGAGAAAGATGAAGCATCTGCTTCCTCTCCTCTCCACCTCCCACTTCACCATACATTTTTGAGGCATTTTGCCATGTGAAGCTGTAAGTCATCAGTGTTTCAGATTCCTTCTTTACAAGGGTTGTGTCAGAAACAGTGTCTGCTTGTATACTGACAGGATTAGCTGGATGCAGTTTTCCAGAAGCTTAAGGTAGCATCCAGAAGCGAACTTTTGAGACTTCATGCCTTCCCTGAAAGGGAAAGACCTATTCTGTATGTTAGTAGCTGTTATGTGCACTGCTCAGAGAAAGAGTTGTCAGCTGGTGAGTGTAGTAGGTAAATGCTATGTAAACGTTTAGGCTTAGGCTGAACAACTCACCTTAATCTGCATAATTAGTAAAGCTATCCATCAACTAAAATGAAGTGGGATTTGAAAAAACACCTAGTTACGTTTTGGGCTTTAAGAGAATGTTGTGTTTTTTTTAAATCTAGAAACTAAATTTTAAACAAAACAAATTTATTGCAGGTTTGGAAGACTTGCATCTAGATGAAAGAATCATGCAGTTCTTATCAATTGTGAACACAATGTTTGCTACCATTAACCGTCAAGAGACGCCGAGGTTCCACGCAAGGCACTACTCTGTGACACCTCTGGGAACAAGATCAGGCTTGATCCAGTGGGTGGATGGAGCTACACCTTTGTTTGGTCTCTACAAGCGGTGGCAACAGCGAGAAGCTGCTTTACAAGCACAAAAGGTGACAACTATTTTTTACACCAGCTAGGACAATTCAGAAGTGAAACATTTATTTTGATTTGTATTCCAATTCTAAATAATGTAGTCTTAGAAGGGTTGTGTTTTGTTCATAATCATGCAGAATGGTTCTGTTTATTCATATCTTTTGGGATTTCACCAGATGTCAATGAAGTTGCATGTATTTATATTCAAGTATGTAACATACTGTTCTTGAATAAATACAGTTAACCTTGGTTAAAATTATTTTAGTTCCATATCTCATTCTCTTATTCTCATTTCATTTTAAATACAGAGGATTTTTAAATTGACCTTGATAAGAGTAGTGCTAAGCTAAAGCAATGAGTTCGGGATACTTTTCTGTGGTAGTAAGAGTTGCAGTATGTAAACTAGTGGTTTTACTTTTTCTAGGCTCAGGACTCTTACCAGACTCCCCAGAATCCTGGAATAGTGCCTAGACCCAGTGAACTTTACTATAGTAAAATTGGACCGGCTTTAAAGGCAGTTGGACTTAGCCTTGATGTGTCACGTCGTGACTGGCCCTTGAATGTCATGAGGGCTGTTCTAGAAGAATTGATGGAAGCAACTCCCCCAAATCTCTTAGCTAAGGAGCTCTGGTCATCATGTACTACACCAGATGAGTGGTGGAGAGTTACACAGGTGAGTTACATTAAAAAAAAAATAAAATCTTTTCCTTTGAAAGGTTGTTTTTGATGGGTTGAGGGGCAACAAATGCCTGGGATGTGTTCAAGCAATGATACTCCTGAGTTAGGTGAGCTAGGACTGCAGAAGTTTCATGTAACAGTTGGTAGGAAATTATGCAGTTGTACCATCTCGAATAAAAAAATGGGTATACACCTGATAGCTCTACATTATTAAACTAAAGTTATCAGCCTAAGATATGAAAACACCTGTAAGATACCATCAGACAACAAATAGAATACAATTTGGAATAAGTTGGTTTTGCTTTGTCTTAAAGTAATGTTTTAAGATGGTAGTCAGTCCAATGTGTTGGCAGAGGATTCCCACAAATAATTTTTTCCTGAAACTCTCTTTAAAGTCGTATGCAAGATCCACTGCAGTTATGTCCATGGTTGGCTACATCATTGGTCTTGGAGACAGACACCTGGATAATGTTCTTATAGATATGACTACAGGAGAAGTTGTCCACATAGATTATAATGTTTGCTTTGAAAAAGGTAATTTAAAAAATGCTATATGTTATTCAAATGAAAGGTTTCCCTTCTTGGCAATTAAAAGAAACAACTTAAATTTTTATCTTAAAGGGAAAAGCCTTAGGGTACCAGAGAAGGTTCCATTCCGGATGACGCATAATATTGAAACAGCACTTGGAGTGACAGGAGTCGAAGGGGTTTTCAGGCTTTCTTGTGAACAGGTGAGTTAGAAAACTTGCAGAAAACTGAGGGCTATCATTTACTGAATAGTGTCTTAAAAATCTTCTTTTAAGCATTGTGCTGTCGATTTATTAAAGCCTTCATCTTTTCTGGTGTGATTTTAATTGGACTTATTTTAAGTACATCCTATAGTAGATATTTAAGAAATATGCAAATGTCAGATAAGGGCATATGGAAGTGATGACACAGCTAAAATTCAGGGGAGGAGTTGTAGCTCTACATGTAAAATGTTACGTTTTTCCTGAAACACTTCTTGTGAAGTTTTGCTTGCCCTCTTTCTTCAGGACTCATCCTTTATAAACATGACAGGTTTTTAAAATAAAAAATGTACTGTGGTGGTGTTCTTGTGTTTGTGCTGGTTAGGGATAAGTTATGGATTTCTGTACCTACTCAAATACTGTATTTTGCATTTAAAATTCTGTTGTTCTATGAGGATAATGCAAGATCTGAATGAGTCTGTTTAAAATATGATGCAGGTCCTTCATATTATGCGGCGTGGGAGAGAGACTTTGCTTACGTTACTTGAAGCTTTTGTTTATGATCCTCTGGTGGACTGGACAGCAGGAGGGGAAGCAGGATTTGCCGGAGCTGTCTATGGTGGTGGTGGCCAGCAGGCAGAGAACAAACAAAGCAAAAGAGAAATGGAAAGAGATATTACACGTAGTCTCTTTTCTTCAAGAGTGGCTGAGATAAAGGTGAGTTTACTACACTAATGTTCTGTTTTATAACCAAAGTGGACCATACGCATTCACTTCATTTATTTGCATTTTGAGGGTGGTGGAAGGAGGTGGTCATTGATTAGAAATAATAGTTCACAAATTTTACTGAGCTGAGTTTGCATTGAGGGAAATGCATATATGGAACTTGCAGCTATTTAGTTTTAATTTTCTGTGTGCTTAGTTCTAAAACATGTTTTAATGTTTCGCCTGAATCTGGGCTTGAGGAATAAAAGCAGCGATGTAGAGAGCAGTTTAAATAAAGAATGTCTGTTAAGCTTTAGCACTCATAGCACTGTAGGTAGTCCTAGATGAACAACATCATTGAAAGGTTAATTACTGCCGTATATTAATTTCTCTTACCTGTTCTGTAACATCTGTGTCTTGGTTATAGGTTAACTGGTTTAAGAACAGAGATGAAATGCTTGCTGTGCTGCCAAAATTGGACAGTAGTTTAGAAGAGTATCTGAACCTGCAAGAGCAGTTGACAGATGTAGAAAAGTTGCAAGGAAAACTACTGGAGGAGATAGAATTTCTGGAAGGTGCCGAAGGAGTGGACCATCCCTCGCATACGCTTCAGCACAGGTACAGAGGAGCCAGGACTCTCTCAAATCTATATATATATATATAGTTGGTGGTTTTGTAATGTATTTATGAGCTAAATGTTGAAAATGTGTATTTGAGAGAGATTAGTAGCTGGATAGAAGCTGTTCTTGCAGTAAGCAAGTCACTCCTTGTACAGAAGAACTATTGAAACCATTTTCCTGCT